AAGTTCCCCCTCCCCGGAGTCGGGAGTTCCCCGCACACCCCACCCAGGCCCTGAGGTCGGGACCCCCGGGAGCCCAGGGCTGACGGGGTGGGGTCGGGCCCCCCGCTGGGCCGCAGGCCTGATGCTGCGTTTGCCTCCAGGAGGGGAAGACGGGGCCGACATGGGTGTGCCGGCGGAACCGACCAAACTCGGGGTCCCGGCTAGAGTGAACCCCTACTCCGTCATCGACATCACGCCCTTCCAGGAGGACCCGCCCGCGCCCCCGGACCCCGAGGCTGAGGAGGAGGGCGTGAGCCTGCACGTTCCCAGCGGGTACTCGGTGCCTGTGCCCTGCGGCTACGCTGTGCCCTCCGGCCTGCCTGCCCTGCTGCCGGCCTACTCCAGCCCCGTCGTTGTGCGCCCCGCGTCCCCGGAGGAGGCAGGTAGGCCCTGCCGCGCACGCGCCCCCCCCCGCAGGTGGGAGATGAGCCCAGGCGTCTCTCCCGGGGCGGGTCACAGCCGAGAGCACTCAGAGCTCCTTGTTCGGGGCATTTTCAAGCGGAGCCTGACCTGGACTTGCCCCGTCCCCGCCGTGCCCGCCAGGCGCTCCCAGGTCTTGTTCCTTTGGGGACGTCGATCATGCCTTTTCCTAAACAGTCACCTGTGACGCTCCGGCGTCATCCACTGACCCCTGAGCAGCAGGCTCTTTGGGTCGGCCTTCCTGGCTCATGCCTTCATTCGTGGGAGCTGAGGAGCCCGGAGGCTGTGTCTCCCCAGCACCTTTCCTCTGAGCCTGGTGTGTGCTGCTTGGGAGGTTGCCTAGTTCAGGGGCCTTGAGAACTGTCGAGGTAACACCCTGAGGTCCCTGTGCACCACCCGGCATGTCCCGCTACTGCGAACGGGTGTCTTACTGCTTAGTGGGCCCTGGACGTTTCTGTGGTGAAGTCTCCAAGCCTCCTGTACCTGCCTCAGCTGTCGAGCAGCCTGAAGGGGTCACGATGGTTTCTTAGCATAAGATAAACTCCTTTTAAAAGGCTTTTTAGTCAGCGTTGCCGGTATAGCAAGTAATAGTGAGCGGGCACCGAGGCCTTTGTCCTGCACTCTCACCGGACGTNCCACGTTTTCCACCCCCACCAGTGGGGCGCCACGGTCCACGTCTCCCCGTCTCCCCCAGTATCTGTTATCTCCTATTAAATGTGTGAAAAGACAAGTTTAAAAACATGTTAATTTGTCAGAACTTCTTTGCCTGTTGTTGAATAATCTTCAACAAAGTAATTTTAAGTGCCCTCCCCCCTGCGGTTCGACGCTCGCCTGGTGTTTGTGCCTCGGGTGTGGGAAGCGCTCTCCCTCCTTTTCACATTGAGCTGTGGGTCCTGCGAGAGGACATCGAGGCCCCCGACCCCCCGGCCCGGCCCGGCCCCGGGGAAAGGGCTCCCGCGGCGCAGTGGGCGGCCTGCTCGCCGAGCGGCCTTTGGCACAGCTCGCTGCCCTTCCCGCGCCAGCTTTGCCGCTTTGTTCAGGGGTGTGGAAAGGTCTTGCTGCTAATAGGTGTTAACGCTGTAGTGTCTGTTGTCTTAACCTGCAGGAAATGAAGTGAAATACGATACGAACAATAACGAAGAGGAGGAGGGAGAACAGTTTGATTTTGACAGTGGAGACGAGGCCCCGGAGGCAGACAGAGGGGCCCCGGGCGCCCCCGAGGCCGGGCACGCGGGCACTGACGCCGCCTCCACCGGCTCAGGTGAGTCCCAGGGAGCCCCCCACAGACCCACCCTCAGCGTCCTGCCGGGGGGCACCCGCTGGGAAGGGGTCGTCCCGAGCGAGGGTTGTGCCGTTCCTGCAATTCGGTGGGAGCTGAAGCGACTTCACATAAACGTGGCCGAGTTTCTTTTTTTTTTTTTAATATATCTATTAATTTCAGAGAGAGGAAAGGAGGTAGAGAGAGAGATAGAAACATCAATGGTGAGAGAGTCATTGATCGAACCTGCAACCCGGGCATGTGCCCTGACCGGGAATCGAACCCCGATCGCCTGGGTCCTAGGTGGACGCTCAACCGCTGAGCCACGCCCGGCCGGGCCCGAGTTTCTTTTAACTTGTGCCGTTTCTGTGGCTTTCAGTCCCGTGCACTTACTGCCTTTTATAATTTGGAGGGAATAGGTGTTCCTGGTTTCTAATAAAACGGCCTCAGCTGTGTTTCACTGCAGACCATGAAATAGTTTTAAACTAGTGTGTTAGGATGAACTACCCGCGGGAGCGTATATTTCGGCGTTGGGAGGGGAACTGGCTGCGTTACCCACTTCGTGGACTGGCCGACCGCCCTTGCGTTGCCTCGTCGGTAACAGCGGCCTCGGGTAGCGAACGGTCCCAACCTCCGGCGGCTCTGCTCACTCACGGCCTCGGCTGAGCCGTCCTGGGAGCTGCCAGGCCGTGGGTGCCCAC